AACACCTTCCTGAAAAAATGTGTAAAGAAATTACTTAAAAAAAACATAGCATATACCAAATCATTTAAAAAGGAACAAATTTATATAATTTTACAATTATAATTGAGAAGTTTGTTGCAAGAAGGGGGTAGCTCTATTTTCGTTATTTTATGTAGATACTATAAGTAAAAAATTAAACTTTTTAACTTTGGTCCAAGAGGGAGGCAGTTTCAAATGTTTTTTCTTGCATATCCTCCCATAGAATGTCAAGGATAAGATATAAATTAATGTTTTTTGAATCAAGTGTTTTTAATTTTAAATATTGTAAATCAAGTATATGAGACAATAAAATCTAAAAAGTAGAAAATAAAATTGTTCAATAGATTAAGTGACATAAACCATAAACATGGAAAAGAAAATTTTACTGTAAAATTACATTTTTAAGTATTGCGCCCTGCGGTATATATTTCATCAATGATTTGTTTAGTTTGGTATACACTATGTTAAGAAAATAAAATCAAAAACCACAGACCTCCGAAATCCTGCTTTGAACGAAACTATTTTTGGCAAAAAAATCACAGATTGCACTACTTCACATAACTTCCATTTTTTTTAACTAAAGGCTGAAGTAAAAGAAAATTTTCGAAAATGAAAAACACTGAACACCCTTACTGAAACTGATTTTTTTTTACACAATTTTTTACCACTGAACTTAGTAACACCCCTGCATTCTCACTCACACACAATAAACAACACATTTCAGGAAAGAACTATGTATTTCACAACACAGTAATTATTATTACATGGATCCATTAATATTTTACTGGGGTAAAATACAATCATACCCATGATGTGGTATTTGAAACAGAATTAACACCCAAACATTAACTTAAACACTATAATCACAAAATTTGTTTTAAACGGATACTTTTTTTTTTAAAGCAGTACATAATTTTCGATTATTAATTATTAAAACTACACATCACTACTACAAAATATGGGGACACTAGGCAGAAATGAATACAGTTCTTTCACATTTAACAAAAATACTTTTTAGTCACTATTTGTGAAAAAAAAAAAAAAAAAACAAATCAAACATGGGAAAGAACTGCACCTCACTTGGTTTTTAATTTTTTTTTTAAACCTTGTCACTTCACATTTTTATAGTGTTTCTTCCGAAAACTACACAAAACTGAATTACATTATTGTTGGTCGCCAATTTCCTGAAATAAACCGTTTATTAGAATTGCTCAAGAATCGTTTAACTGTTTAAGAAACACTTTTTGCCCTGGAAAATTCTAATATCTAAATGAATTTTTTTTTAAGAGATGATCTCAAATGGGAGATATCCTATAAACTACTATCTACTTAGAGGTTTTTTTTAAAAAGTATAGTAAAAATATCTTAATTCTATGAGGCAAAGTAAAATCAAAATAATTCTTGATATAAATAAAAATAATGTTGCTCCCTCCTGCTGTTGATTTTCAGAGCCATTACAGAACAATTTGTTTTTTAAGTTATCTTGTTGATTTATCAATTATATACTTATTTTTCATGAGTATAACAAATAGCAAGATACTTTAAAAATAAAATGTTATAGAATATTATAATATTAAGATGTATATTATTATTAATTAAAAGGGTGTAAACGTCAAAATTTACAAAAATTATATTTATTCATAGGTGAAGAAGGTTTAATTATTAGGCAAGCAATTCATTTTTGGAATGGAATAAATATCGTAAATGTACCCTACAGTGGGTCTACTTAAATCGGTACCATATGGAAAAATATTATAAATTTTATATAAAAAAAAAATATTCATACAAATTTCAGCAAGATATAAAATCTTAAACTGCACAGAAATATGTTTTCAGTCATGTACGAGGTTTACCGTTATAGAAAAGTTGATCATAATTTAAATAAAAACCAAGGTCATATATCTGATGATTAATGTTTTATCGTTATTTAGTGGTGTTTATACTTTTATTTTTGGACTATTTTTTAGGGTTTAGTTTTTGTAATATCGGTAGTTTGATTTTTTGAAAGATGAACTACAAAACAGCAAGGACAAATCATGTAATAGTTTACTTTAAACATTTTGGGTTAGTGTAGGCCTCCGAGCCGGAGCTGAATTCTGACATTTTGTTTATATCCTGAAATAATTTGAAATTTTAGCATGCGTGGAGCCAGCTGTAGTGTTGCTGTTTGCAAAACTCAATTTTTACAAACAAAAATCATCAGAAGAAAGTGACTGAACCTAAACTGAAATTAAAGGTTAATGGTAAGATTTTAGAATATTATTCAACAATTTTCATTCACTATTATTAAATTAATTTCAGCTTTGTCAATAATTCTACATTTAAAGGCAGATGAGATGATTTCTTACAAGCATTAAACACAATCAAGAACAAGAAGAGTCAAATATAATTTTTCCAAACTTTTGTTGATAACTGCCACTGCTTGTTTAATCAGGGTTGGCAGGTATTTACAGATTTTTTGCACCTAGGTTTTAAGGTTTTTTAAAATAACTCAAGAGTGAAAATTTTGCAATTTTAGTTTTTTGATAAATATTAAGAATTCACAATTTTACTAATCAACTCTATGGAGAAAGGGTGCAAAAATAAGTACATAAAAACAAATGCAAACATTTCATCAAAGGTTATTATACCTACCACAAAAAAAAACCATTTATTTATTTTAACTTAGTTTTTTGTTTTGTTTGCAGAATGTGATTTTTTTTAATACAATAAAATTCTATTTTTCAAGTTGCTTGTATTTTTTGTTTAACTTTACTAATAATTTTTGACCTAATATGAACCAAAAACCTCCTTATATATTTTTTATATCTTAGGTTTTTCCAACCCTGTTTAACCTTCCGGGACTGGCGCGCGGACTCTCAGTCCGCAGCGCTTTTTATTTGCCGTTTGCCGCGTAACCCGAAAGATTGCGGAGAGTCCGCCGCCAGTTGCCAATCTCATTTTTGACCACACTATTAATATATGTGGAAAGTTCATGTGTGGAACATATGACACCTATATGTTTGGAATGTCACAGAATAGTTTTATAAGTTTATATTTTCTTTGTTTATATTACGTTGATTTTGTTTTTAGTAGCTAGTTTCAGGAATGTTAAACTTTTCTGATGTATTTCTAATAATGCCAAAAATACATGTTCCTTTATGTTTTTTGTTGTAAAATTAATGTTGTTTAATTATTTTTGATGCTTTTGAATAAATAAACAAAAATAATTGCAAACTGTTTTATAATTGGCTCAAATTTATTATGCGGACTCACAGTCCGCCGCCATCGCCGGATCACAAAAATTTCACGCCAGTCCCGGAAGGTTAATTAATGTTATTTGATGAGTAGAATAAAAGTGTTTCATCTGCAAGAAAACATTTTATTTGATGTAATCTACATAGATTATAAACAATAAAGGCACCAAAAAACTTTCTTGAATACACCACATTCATCAACCACCTCATCAGAAATAATGTTTTTTATTTTTACTATATTATTAATGATTTATTAGTTTCTCTGTCAAGGGATTTATATATGTTGGGCAATAAAGGATATTACCAACAATTTTCGATATTTTTAAAAATAAAAGTAGGTACATACAATTTATATTTTTCGATAACTCATATATGACTGAAAAAATTTGATATCTGATGATTGTATTTCATCAAATAGACCATGCAGAATTTTTAATGAAGAATAACTTCTTTGGCATAAAATTAATAATAAAAAAGTTTTTCATATGGTGCCGACTTAAGTCGAGACACTGTATTATATGTCTAAAAATTATTTTTTTTATTTATACCATGTTTTTTGGTACTTATGCCCTTTCGAAGTTAATGTCTTCAACATTTTAATCATTTTTGCGACTACTATAGTTTATTTAACAGATTAGCTTACTTTTAAGGGAGATTTCAAGACTTTTATATTTTATGCATAAATCACATCAAAAAAGTATGTCAATAGAATTAAAAATCTTCTATAATTTTAATTGAATTGCATTCTAAATATTATATATATTTTTTTAATAGTAGGTATACAATCTTTTGCAAATATGATTCATAGACTATTAAATTTATTTTATATAATAGTTCATCTACTATAACTGTAGAGAAAGATGTGAATTGAATGTTAAATTTAGTAAGAACTGTCATTAATATACAATGAATATTATAATTTACTTAGGACCGATTCCACCGTTGTGTTAAACGAAGTTTAAAATGACATTTTTACATTAACGTCATTTTAATCTCCGTTTAACACAACGGTGCAATCGGTCCTTAGAGGCATATCAAAAAGATATAATTACAAATACAAATAATGTTTAATTTGATTTGATACTGAATAGTTTCATATCATCCCTAACCATTTTTTTACTAATGTCGTTTTTATTGTGCCAAAAGTTTTATACAAATAGAAAAAAAGGTCTATTTCACAAAAAAAAAAAATTGGTGAAAGGATTTGCATCCCTTGGAAATCCATAATTAAGTATTAAATTTTGTAAAATAAAAGTAATTATTTATACCTAATGAAAAGTAAATATTTTTAAATTAAAGGACTTGGAATAGCATGACAACCCATAACATTAATTTATTTATTGAGGAAACATGTCTTCAAAAGTTAAACTAAAAACTACTACAACTTTGTTAAAATGCAATAACTTGTTTTTTATTGTTGTCAGGTAAAAAGGCCTTTAATTTTAAAAGTGTGACTTGTCCCGTTTTTACAATAAGCCCTTCAATTTCAATATAGAACAAAATATTAATTAAAATGTAGACAGGAATTTTTCTCTATGAAAATTATGTAATTTTACTATTTTTTAACATTCATTATGATATAATTTTTGACATATTCTAAAAGCCTGAAAAACTTACTTATATTTATTTAATGCCTAGGTTTAATGGTAGGTACCTCTAATTTATTTTTAACTTTTTAGTGCTTTTTAACTTTATTGATAATTTTTGACAGATATGAATAAAAACCTTAAAAAAATCTACTCATATTTTTTTAATGCCTAGGTTTAATGGTAGGTACCTACTTACCTCTAATTTATTTTTAACTTTTTAGATTTTTTAATTATATTATTAATTTTTGACATATTATATGAACTAAAAACCTACTAATATTTTTTATAATGCCTAAGTTTAATGCCCGGTACCTCTAACTTTTTTAGTATTTTTTAACTTAATTGATAATTTCTAACATATATGAACTGAAAACATCAAAAACCTACTTATATTTTTTTAATGCCTAGGTTTAATGATGGGTACATTTTTTTAAATTACTACATTCTAGATAATGTACAAATTTGATCAAGAATAAAATAAGTAGATTTCAATATTGTGCAATTTTTACTTTGCAAACTAGAAAATTTTCCCATATTTTTGATCATTTAATACCCAATTTTCCATAAAGTAGCCACACTGATGCATATTCATAAAAAATATAAAGTTTAGCCAATAGCCCCCCCATGAATTGATTTATTTACATGCAATAAAGAACATTTTTTTTTCTGAAAATCTACAGCAGAACATAGTAGCAAATCTATAAAACAAAATATAATGACTATACTTTTTCACATACGTACTGTGTCAAATAATGATTAAAATACAGTGTATAAAGCAAAATAATAATTAAAAAAAGAATGAAAATAAAATATTTAAGCTGTACCACCACGTACCACAACGATTATGAGATGATCTTCCTTGATCGCCTCGTCAGACAGGTTAGGACAACTACGTTTGAGTAATTCAGTGGAGAAGGGACATGGCGGGAAGGAATACAGGACACCCGTAGCTTCCGTCTCTTTATTCAGCAACGATATAACCCCGGCGGCCTCTTTTTGTTTCAAATATGACACCAGATTTCTTAGCGGTCTCGTTTGAACTGTAGCATCGTCATTGGTGACTGAAGCCGTTGAACCGGCCAAACCGAGGAAAATTGCGTGCGAACTAGCACTGGAAATTCGTTTTTGCACGTCTTCCAACTTCGGTTGATCGAGTCGCAGTCTTTGAGTGATCCGCAGCTGGTGTTTACCATCTTCGTCTTTCATCAAACCGTCAACGATATCAGTATCGCCATCCATTAGGTGGAATTTTGCCGGGAACAGAGAGTTTTTGAGTATTAACGCCCCCTGCCAGATTGTAGTGCATTTTCTAGCTACTTCTGGTAAAGTACGGCTCGAAGCAAGTAATCCTGCTCGTCTAGAACCGCTATCAGAGTCTGAATCAGGTGATCTCCTTGGAGATCTAGATCTAGAACGGTCAAAACCTCTAGAACCAGACCGCCTTCGTTCATATTCAGGATCTCGAGTCCTACCCCATTCATCTTCTCTACCTCCTTCTGGAAATCTGTAGGGATCCCTGCTACCGCCTCGTTTTTCGGGGAAAGCTCCTCTGCCCATCCTATAAGGATCCCTATCAAAATCATAATCGAATTCTATTTCTCTCGCTCTGTAATCCTCTGCTGAAGCATATGGAGGTTTGGGTCTATAAGTAACACCTGGTGTTACATCAGCAAAATCAGTCCTTAGTTTTCTTTCTGGCCCCCCTAGAGGGAATCCCCGCATCTCTTTGACAGCAGCGGTAGCGGCATCTATGCTATCATATAAAATTAAAGCTTGATTATCACCTTTTACGTAATCGATCTTTTTTATTGCACCAAAACGATCAAATTCTCTTTCCAATTGGGGTACAGAAGTCCAGGGACCTAAACCACCTACCCATATCCTTGTTGTAGGTGTAGCTTTACCATAACCTATTTTACATTGGAATTTACCAATGTACTGTCCGGATAATTCAACTTTGGCTCTATGAGCCATATCTAAAGTGTTAAAACGTACGAAAGCAAAAGCATTACCTGTACCAGGAGGGGGGCGTTTGATATCAATGTCTTCAACTACTCCATACCTGCTGAAAATCCTTCTCAGCTCCTCTTCGGTTATATTAATTTCTAAATTACCTGCAAATAAAGTTCGGGTAGCTAAGGGATCGTCCTCGGGTTGAACGTGGTGTAAATAATTAGGAAATTTGTCTTTTTTGTTTTCCTTCTGTTCGAAGGGAGGTCGAGGCATGTGCTGCCTCTGGGGACCATACCCGCCGTGAACGGGAGGCATATGGGGAGGACCATGGTGCATGGGAGGTCTGGCAAGGTAATCATGGTGAGGAACAGGCATGGCTTCGCGTCTATACTCGCGGTGAACCGGGACACCAGGTGGGGGGCCGTAACCCCTATCGTATCTATCGACGGGGCGCATACGTTCGGGGGATCTAGCGTAATAATGTCTATCATACTCAGGGCTAATTGAACGCGGCCTATTTCTGTAGATATCCGCCGATCTAGGAACCTCATACACAGCTTCAACTAAGGCAACTTTATCGTAAATAATAATACGGGGTTTTCCATGCTTGGCATCACGAGCATCTTCAGGATTTCGGAAACAAACATACGCTACACGCTCATCCAAATCGTGAGTGACTCTAATACTTAAATCCCCATATTTCTTATACTCCCTATATAAAGTGTCTTTGATAACCTCATCACTGGCTTTGGGGTGTAAAGCACTGACGCACAATACCTTGTAAGGATAGGAGCGCTCTGGAGGGCGCATGTATTCGTCGCGATGGGGTGACACGTAGCGAGCCCTAGGACTGGGGCTGCGGCCGCGACTTCCGCGCCTTCGCACTCTGTCGGGGGTTATTCTTTCGTCTGAACTGTCGTCGTATCGGCCGATACTTGATCGTGACCGCTTGCTACGTGGTGGAGTGTCCCTATCACTACTTCTCTTCATGTTATTAATCCTAACTGTTATTTTGTCCCTTCCAGAGGCGATCATACGCACTGCACACACCAATTAACTGACAACACCACGGTGGATGACACGGCACTCCTTTTCCTAAAAACACAATTAAAACACACGGTTTTCAACATATTCCACTAAAATAACTTCAATAATATCAACAATAAATAAAAAACATACTTAAAACTACACAGCACTGTGTAAAAAATATTTTTTCGACTCCGCTTTATGCAAAAAAGGTTGATGACAATCACCTTCAAAAGCCAACACTAAACAAAATGGCAGATTTTCGATTGTTGCCGGTTAAAAATGACGATTTATCAACGGGGTTGAAGTAGGAACTGCATCGCGCAAGACCGGAAATTGGAAATACAAAATTTTCATGACCCATGACAAAGATGTAGTACGTTCTAATTTTAAATTTAGAACAGAATCGTTTTTTTGTATTTATCGCCCCCTAGGGCCAATTTCACCGTTGTGTTAAACGAAGTTTGAATTACTAAACGAAGATTAAAATGACATTTTAATCTTCATTTAACACAACGGTCAAATCGTAAGCTAAAATATTTTACAACCTTTTTTTTTACAATTATTGCCTTTTAAATCGTTAAAATTGTTTCTTATTCCTAATAATTAATAGAGAGTTTTAGCTAACATCCCCTAACCATCCGCTAACGTTACCATAGCATTTATTCCACCGTTGCGTTAAACGAAGTTTAAAAGGACCGATTCCACCGTTGTGTTAAACGGAGATTACAATGACATTGTTATTGTTAATGTAAAAATATCATTTTAAACTTCGTTTAACACAATGGTGGAATCGGACAGTGTCATTTTAATCTTCGTTTAGTAATTTAAACTTCTTTCAACACAAAGGTGGAATCGGCCATAAATATACGAAACATACTTTTTGGAATACGATTTCGGAACATTCCAACCATGCGTTTTGTTTGTGAGATGTCAAATGCCATGTCATATAGGATAGGTGTGAGGTTATGTTTAATTTTAATAATTTAAAAATATTTTTTAAAATATGGAGTTATTTGTTGTGAATAGGTAAATTATTAAATACAAATATTATCACTGAATTAACCGGCAATGTTTTTATTTTAGACATGAAGGTGACGAGCCCCAAGAAATAACAGAAAATGACGAAAGAGGAAAACTTGATCAGGTATTGAAAAAAATCCAAAGAAACAAGAAATTGCGACAAAAGCAGAAAGAAAAACTATCTGAAATAAAGAAAGCAAAGCAAAAGACGTTGGAATCCAGGCAAATAAAGAGAAAAATTAAAGCTTCCATTATTCCAGTACCTGAAAATAATGATAACGAATTTATTGATAAGACTATTGAGAACATTGTTCAGGTAGAAAATGAAGAAAGTCAGGAAGGAAAAGCTAAAAAACAGAAATTAGATCCAAAAACGCTGGAAGGTTTCACTGTTTTAGGAGGTCAAAATTTTGCTAACAAAGTTAAGGTATTACATTCTAGGTTATTGTTTTTAAAATGAAGGCTTTAATTAAATAATGTGCTAAGTGCCAAAAAATCGGTTTTTAATTTTATTCTTGTAAAATGTTATAGGTGCCATAACTAACAACATATATGGAGTGCTAAGTTCAAGGACTATTAAATTATTTAATAGCTTAGAGCTTTATATAATATATTGTTGGTTATAACACCTAGAACATTTTACAAGTATAAAATGAAAAACCGATCAAATACCTAGTAATAAAAAAATCCTTATTATTTCTTTTTGATCACTGTATAATGATGTAGGATATTAAAAAATGCATGTGGTGGACAAAACACAATTTAAAATCTACATTTAAATATAATCCTTATTAATACAACACAGACATTTTGATACTAATATTTTGTTTAATGTTTGTTTAAAGCTGTTAACAGTTTTTATAATTTTCATATCAGCTGGCAGTTTTTAAAATAATTATTTAATTCCTGCATACTGAAAACTATGTTTATAGAGAGCAGATATATGCTTAAGTGTACATAACATACTACCATTACAAGTGGGTTTTGAAGACTAGAGATAAGGAGGCGAATCAGTATACTCAAAATGCAGTCCCAAAAACAAAGGCTAATTGAGCTTTTACAATTTACCGCAGGTGGCTGGTATTGTTAGATACATTAAAAATATATGGTTTATGGGAGTATTACATAATCTTGTGAAAACAATAAAAATAATCTTGTGCAAATCCCAGAAAATACTGTTGTATTTATTTATAAATAAGTAAGTCTTGTATGTTTTAATTGATAAATTATTTAACTGTATCTATATAAAATATAAATTAGGTAGGTATGACCAAATTCAAAAAGATTTGTTAAATGGTAACATTTGGTAAGTACAATTTTGTAGTTAAAGTTTTTTGAATTATATAGTTTTAAGAAGAGCAAAATAAAACACAGTTAATAGATTTTTTATATTATAATTCAAGTAAAAAGTGAGATTTGGGAATTTACATATTTACATATTTATTTTGTTAACACTATCATCAGTAAAAATAATCTCATAACATTTGATAATATCTTCTGAAAAGTGTTGCAAACAGCATCATCTCTAGAAAGTCCTTATCAGCCTGGGAATGATATGCTGCCACTGTTCTAAATGCTTAGGCTCCTATAAAAACATTTGCAATGACAAAATTGGGGTTCAACAAAAAAATAACAGTAGGTAGTAACTCTTCATCCTACATTAAAACTCTGAAAACATTTTTTTTTCTTTTATAATAATTTAAATTTAATGTGTAATTATTGTTGTTTGCAAGTCAGGATTTATTACTGTAAAATGTTAGGTATACTTATAGAAATTTGTAATAAAATAAACTACACTCCATAAGGTTGTGACTAATTTACAATAAATATTATATTTAGAAATACACATATATTATTTTACTTACACTAGGAGCTTTAAAAAGACTTTAAATTGATTTCTCCTTGTGTTTTATTTAGTTTTAGATCTTATTTATATTCCCTTTTATAACCTGGAACAAATCTTGCTTTGATGTTTTTTGTCACTCATGTTACTTGTAGTCAGGTACTTTTTTCACATTATTTTGATTACGTTCACCAATTTAAAAAAACACTTTATTTCACTTACATAGAAAATTGACGTACCTAACGTTCGACCTGCCAACTACAGTCAATTTGACAAACGTTGTAAAAAGAGATTTGAAATTTGTCCATTGTTGATTCGTCTCCTATCTAGTCTTCATAAGTGGGGTAGTTGTAACAATCATTTTTTCTATATAATTGACTTTCATTTTTTGTATATATGAATGATTGTCTTATAAATATAATATTGAGGGTAGAGTGAGTATACATGTGCGCCACCACAAGGGGCGTCTCCCCCTCCTTCTGAATTTGTGATTTTGGAGTTTTTCACCATTTCTTTTGACTGTATCCTGTGGTGTTTTAACCCTGCCTATACGACTTGCTCCCTTAGAAATTTTGTATTCGGCGCCCTTGTATGTGGTAATTAATAAATGATTAATGATTTCTACATGCATGTCTTGAGTCTAGATTGAAAATAAGTCTAATTACTCTTTTTTGTGCAATGAATACTCTTATAGCAGCAGAAGAATTTCCCCTGATCATAATAATATATGTAAATATACAATTGCATAATACACATATAGAAGTTGGTTGGTAATAATTGTAAAAATCTGTTTTAATTGAAGTAAAGCATAAAACCACTATTAACCTTTTTACAGTTGTAATTAATTGATTCCCAGCTCATATCATAATCTAGCAGTACCTCCCATAAAAATAATTTCAATTTACCTTTAGACATTATTGTTAATCCTGTTCCTTGAGAAAAACTGTAGGGCAACGTTTTTATCAGAATTCAAGATTATAGAATTTTTATTACACCAAGTTGAAAAATCTGAAGCTACTAAGTGCATCTTCAGCTCATCTCACTCATCTGGAAAAATTGCATGAAATGCTAAAGTTGTATCATCTGCATAGAGCAAGGTATAATCTGTAGATACATGTTGAGGGAGATCATTCACATATAACAAACATATTAGTGGCCCCAAAACGGATCCCTATGGTACTCTTCAGGGCAATATGTTCTGTTATATACTATACATCAATGAGAAATATAAAATGTTTTTATATAATAAATAGCTATTGTTATAATGTAAATAAGTTCTGTGGAATAAACTTGGTGCTAAAATATTAGTAAAAAATTGGGGATGGGGTGGTAATGGATGATATTACCTCCCTAGCGTTATTTTAAACAGTTGGTCAAGGTCCAATAGTTTATTAATTATAATTCATTAGTCCAATCATTATACACTTTTTTAGGCGACTGTTACAAAAAATTACATTTTACGGATTATTAACATCCCTAAAGGGAAACTTTTTTGGCCGCATTTACTGTACGTCCACTTTAAAGTGTCACTTTTCGGCCGTATTTACTTTATGGCCGCTTTTTACAAACAAGTTTATCATACTTATCATAGAGATAGAGTAGAGATAGAGTGAGAGAGAGATATAGAGAGTGAGCTTTTTGAAGCCTCACTGCTTTTGAGAAGTCTTCAATTTCTTCGCAGTAGGATCTCCATGCCTATCTCTGTTTTTGCCTCTCTGTGATGTACCAAATCATCATGGCTGATGTTTTTGAACATAATGTAGGTACCTATCTAGATAGTCTGATCTTTTTTATCTTTATTCCACCAGGTAAAAAGAATTCTACCCTCGTGGTTAACAGCTCCAACAGTGATATCGGTAAACCTCCAAGACCTAAAAACGAAAGTTTCAGACATAAAACAACTGGACAAAGGATTACGTAAAATGTTAAAGGCGAACAATATCAAATATCTCTTTCCGGTGCAAGCTGAAGTAATTCCTTGGCTGCTCGATTCATCCAGGCATTCTGACGTGATCGTCCCTAGGGATATATGTGTTTCGGCTCCAACTGGGAGCGGCAAAACTTTGGCTTACGTGCTGCCTGTCGTGCAGGCTTTGAAGAGGTATACCGTGAAAAAAATTAGAGCGCTGGTGATTTTACCCACGCAAGACTTGGCGACGCAAGTGTATAAGACTTTTAAGCTCTACAGTCAGAATACTAATATTGATGTTTGTCTGATAACCGGGCATAACTCTTTTGCTGTGGAACAGAACCAACTGATCTTTGATAGTAAGATAAAAAATAATCTTAATTTTCATATATTTCTATTTAGAATATTATTTTAGACAAAGCCTTCGGTGTTGTAAGCAAAGTGGATATTTTGATATGCACTGCTGGTCGATTGGTTGATCATTTAAAATTGACGAAAGGATTCAATTTGAGGAATTTGGAGTTTCTGGTGATAGACGAGGCCGATAGGGTACTAGAAAGTGTACAAAATGATTGGTTGTATCATTTGGAGAGGCATATTCAGCAAGACGGTAAGATGTTAAATTTTCTCCATGACTGGGTTATTTAATACTTATTTTTTTCAGAGTCAAACACTCAAACGGGCAAAATATTAAATTTATTTACCCTAGAAAAATCCAGACCACCACAAAAACTACTATTCTCAGCCACTCTGTCGCAGGATCCCGAAAAACTTCAACAACTTTCTCTATTTCAACCAAAACTCTTTACATCGGTTGTTGAAAGTACTGAAGACCAAATGGAAGATGCAAATTCTGGAACTTTCATAGGAAAGTACACAACCCCAACAGAATTAACAGAAAAATACATAATTACCAGTTTAGAACTGAAACCACTGTTCCTTTACAAATTCATAAAGCTGCAAAAACTGACGAAATCCATAGTTTTTACTCATTCAGTAGAAAGTGCCCACAGATTGTCTATACTGTTGAGATCTTTATTCAAAGATGAGCTAAAAGTCGAAGAAACTTCATCTAATTTGCAAGGAAAGAATAGAACGAAACTCATCGACAAATTTACAGCAGGAAATATCGATTTGTAAGTGTTATTACTAATGATTATTTATTTATTTGATCTTTATCATTTATATGATTTAGCGGGCCACTACATTACAATAGCCTGAGACTACATTACAATAGCTTGATTCATATTCGTAAGAAAAACATAAACAGACATTAATTCATTTAACTTTTCATACACAAGTCCAGTCTTGGATGTAGATTTTTTAATTCTGTATCTTTCTTATTTTTTATTTTTTTAAAAGTTGTTTGAAGATGTTTATTTTACCGACTTCTATACATAGTTAAAAAATTATTATCAACTTAGGATTTACCCTGTAGAATGTATTACATCACAAATTTAAAACAGATTTAAAATTCTTTGATCTACAAGGACCTAGTTACCAATCCCCTACACTTTTCCAGACAGATCAGTTTCAAAAAATTCTACTAAATATAGGTTTAATGTTATTAAATTGAATTTCATTTTGTTTTTGAAACTTGGTTGAGGTAGTTGTCTTATTTTTATAGGAATCGAGTTGTACAATTTAATTGCTATATTTGCATAGCTTCTCACGAAGACGATGTGGACAATCCACTCGAGTTGTACAGAATATTTTTTCTACCCACTAATGAAAATTTACAAATAAAAAATATATTTTAGGTTATTAAGACAATATAACTAATTTTAAAATAATTTATGACATTTAATAATTTTTAAAATAAATGAAAAAAGTTCATTTCATTTTTCGCCTTCCTAGAATCGAACTCCAATCTTCCGTATGGAAGGCAAGAACGCTAACCACAGGACTACCTATTCTTTCATTTTTGTTGCTTTAATACTCGTAATTAAATTGACTTCATGTAGTTTTATTTAAATTAACAAATTATAATTATAGACAAAATAAAAACAGAAATGCGTAGATAAGCTAATATCCATGTAGGTGTAAAAAAATGTATTTTTAGTTTTCTTTGGGTTTCTTTAGTTTTCTTTAGTTTTTTTAGTTAGTTTTCTTTAGTTGTTTTATTTAATAATATCAAAAATAATAAATTGAGTTTTTTTGAAATCAGTTTTTTAATGTTTTTATTTTTCTGGCTTTTTCGGTTTCCTTGGTTTTCTCATTTCTTATCAAGGAAATCAAAAATGAAAGCTACATTTGCAATACCATCGAACTTTCAGGTTCTGTAACATTGGCAAGGAATATATTGTAAGAAGTCAAAGTGACTAGAAGAATAGTATGCAGTGTACAGGGCGCTACAGTTTGGAGATTTTTGAATAGTGGTTTACATGATTCTATGCTTGTAGAATCCATGATAGCTGATTTTTTGTTGAATAATGTTTTTCATCCACTCTGTTGAATTTCCCCAATAGGATTCCATAGGAAATTGATTTTGAAACAGCTCCTATAGATTTTCATAGTAGTCATTGTTGAGATTTTTCTGATATGATTAGATGTGATAGGCTGGAGAGCTTTTTAGAAAGAATGTGCAAGTGTTGTTTCTAGTCTAGATTTGTATCTATATAAAGCCCAAAAATGTTATTTCCTTTAGGGTGAAACTGAACTGCTTGATGTTGTTTCAGATTCATTTAGTGAAACCATAGTTTTGCTTCATCCAAAATTTCTCCACTTCTCTATTCAGTAGCTCAATATTTGATGCATTTGATATAAAGTTGTGTCATTAGCATACATGCTGTTGACAACAACTAAGAAAAGTCATTAACATATAGTATAAAAGGCTGGGTCCAAGGACTGAACCTTGTGGTACCCCTACAATATTCTTTTAATTTCTGATTTATTTGAGCAAACTACTAGCTGTTGTCAGTTACTGTACCACAAAGTTTAATTTGAGCCCCTTTGGTGTTCTGTATGTATTTATAGTAATAATTTTTATTTTAGGTTGGTTTGTACGGATGCTTTAGCTAGAGGTATAGATCTTCCTAATGTGCAGTGCGTAATATCTTATTCCGCTCCGAAATACCTCAAGACATACATTCACAGAGCTGGTAGGACTGCCAGGGCTGGTGAAACCGGATTGGCGGTGACTCTGTTGAACAAATCACAGATGTCCAAGTTCAAATCGATGTTGAGTCAAGCTAATAAGACCAACGTAGAGGAGGTCAGTCAAAAAATGATTTGGAAGTTGCAGCAGTTGAAATGTTTTTTATTTTTAGCTTATCATTCCGGAAGATGATTTGGAGCCTTTGGGAGAAAAGTATAAGGATTCGTTGTTAGAGCTGAAAAATATCGTGGAGAAGGAAGAAAAGTTGGATTTGGAAAAGTCAATATCCTCGAAAAGAAGTAAAAAAATTAGGAGGAAAAGGAAAGATTCTGTAAATAGTGTCGGCAGCAAATAAATTTGTATTTTTATTGTAAATAAAATTTAAAAAAATATAAAATTGTCTCTTTTATTTGTCCTTACTCATGTAATGTAATTTTTTCTTAAAAATCCTTTAAATTAATTTTTTAAAATTTTGTCCTTTATGTCAAGATGCCATTTACGTCAGTATGTCATTTACGTCAATATGTCATTTACGTCAATGCGAAAATTTGCGTTCTATTCAAATTCCTACAACCCAAGTTAGTTTATTTGAAAGAAGTAATTTTATAGGATGGTTTTTTTTATTTAAAGGGTTGCTGTTCTAGTCCGCGATACGTGAATCTGTTGTTATCGCTTACAACTGTTTAACTTTCTTCCTTAATGAGATAGGCGTCTCAACATGTGCCGAATTGAAAGATGAGAATCCCACTGCAGGACAGGGATTTTTATGTGCGAACTCAACACGTAACGAATCGAATAGAGACATTACATAAGAATCGCATTCGGTGGAATAAAGATAGGCGTCTCAACACGTGCCGTATTGAAAGATGAGAATCCCGATGCTGTTTGGACCTAAAAGGCTTGTTCGGGGTATAAAGTGTATTTAGAGCTTAACTAACCGATCGCATTCTTGTGCAAATCAAATGTCATCAGTCACTCTCACGTTTTTTCAAAAAGTTAGGTTAAGAATAATTTGTTTATTTTTAAAAGAAAAACAGAAATGGAAGTAATAAATGACGAAAGTCCAAGAGTTATACTTGAAGAATACAAAGTTACACAGGTTTGAATCACAATTCTACTCGTTACTTCTATAATAATCAAACAAACTTTTTAGAATCTACCGAACGGCCCCACAGTCTTAAACGAAATATTTTCTATTAAAACCTTCAAAAAGAAGTTCAGAATAGTCATAATTCGCAATGAAAACCACGAAATGGAGTTCGACATGATCGGCATCCATCCATTCTTGGCAAATACATTCCGAAGGCTCATCTTGAGTGACGTGCCAAGCATGGCCATAGAAAAAGTGTATATTAGTAACAATACTTCTATCATTCAGGATGAAGTGCTGGCGCACAGGTTGGGGTTAATTCCGCTCAAAGCAGATCCCAGACTGTTTGATTATAAGGAGGATGGTAAGATTTATTTGAAAGAATTTTTTAAGCTATATTTGGTAGTAGGTATTTAAAATAATTTCTAATGAAAGTTTGCAGAAACTGTAATGATCGGATTAATGATGATACTTGTAAATATAGTATTACAGGTAATTTTTGTTTTGTTTAAGTAATAGGATGGTTTTGATGTGGAAAATTATTATAAAATCTATTTTAAATATCTACATAATATTGTATTAAACAGTAAGAGTACAAAATTTGACAAATACTTATACTTAAATGAACAGATTTCACATTCAGTGTTTTTGATAAAAAGAGTTAGTTTATTCATTTTTAAATAGATTAGATTATATACACTCTAGTACCATATTTTTCAAGATCAATTTAAAAATGTAAGGGACAGTAGATATATTCCACTTGGTTATGCTAAGAGCTTTATTAATTTATTGATGCAATATCCAACAGGATAATCCCCAATTACAGGATAAGGTGAAAAAATTTTAAATACTTATATATAACAACCATTTATAGACGTAAATCTATATTTTAGAAGTGGACAGCATTCCCTAAGGCTTATATTTGTATCTCTATACCTAAGCACCAGTTTTTGATGTACGTTTAGAAAAAATAGTATTTTAATTTTTCAAACAGGTAAAAAGTCATATTTACAACTTTGGACCTCATTTTCTCTAAATCATAAGATTGGAGATAAGATTTTTATCTCTAAGCAGAATACATAAATTGAATGGGCAATTACAAAGTGTGCAATCAATTAAATAGACCAAATAAATGAAAAAGTGAAATAGCTACCTGCATACATTTTTAACACTCTTTAAAAATGCTGTTACAACCAGTGGCGGCTTGTGCCCAAAATTTTGGGGGTTCACAGTGGCATAATATAGATATCAGTACAGATGTATGAAAAAAACTTTCAGTGTTTTAGAAAGTTTACAATATACCTTTCTAAAACACTGACAGTTTTTTACCTACATCTGTACCGAGATCTATATTCTACTACTGTGAACCCCCAAAATTTTGGTAACGAGCCGCCCCTGGTTACAACTGATGTTTTGAACTGGGGAATTTGACGAAAAAATTCACCAAAATTATAGGAGAAAATTGAAAATAAGGCTAAAATATTTCAAATTAGTTACAGTTTATTGTGTATTGAAAAAATATAAGTATATCAAATTTAAAAAAATAATTTAAGTGTATAATTATTTTATTTACCCCAATATTTACATTTTTTAAAAATAGTGATTTTGATTTTTCCATCCTTCAAAAAGTTATGGCCAAATTAAAAATTCGAGCCAAATTTGACATCAGCACCATAAACACTTTTTATTAATTTCAAATTGGCATTGAACTATTTTTAATAAAAATTCGTGCTTCAATTGACTCTTTTTGTAGCTACTGCAGAATCTAATGAAAACGATTCATTAGAGTTTGAATTAAAAATTAAATGCAGTTATAACAAAGAAGCCAACAAAAAAGATTCTTCAAGAGTAGAAGATATGTATAAAAATAATAATGGTAGGTAATTTTTACAAAGAGAAGATCTGTTATCTAAAAAAATATATTTTTTTAGTGTATTCAAAGCATTTAAAGTGGATTCCTGTAGGAAACCAGAAAGAACGGTTTAATGAATCTGACGTGGGGCCAATCGAGCCGGATATTTTGATAGCGAAAATGAGGCCTGGACATGAATTAGATTTAAAATTGGTAGCTGTAAAAAGCAGCGGACGAGATCACGCCAAATTTTCACCAGTTGGTAAGTCATAAGGGCAACAATTTTAAAATAGTTAAATAATGACACATATTAAATAGGAAAAAAATATATTAAGCGATTTTATTACAACAAAAATTGACAATATACAACTTTCTTTTCAGCTACCGCGTTTTATAGACTTCTCCCAGATATCAAACTTTTAAGAGATGTTGAAGGTGAAGCGGCTTATAGGCTACAAAGCTGCTTTTCTCCTGGCGTCATTAGCGTTAGAAACGAAAAGGATGGCAAAAAAGTTGCAGTCGTAAACAACTCCAGATACGATACGAGTAGTAGAAACGTTTATCGGTATGAAGATCTAAAAGATGCCGTCGTTATGACAAAGATTCAAGATCATTTTATTTGTAAGTACCTGATATTTTTTTTAATTTTCAATTTAAAACTATCGGCTGTATCTTATTTAAAACTTAGAATCATTTAACCAAATAACCGTTTTCAACTGATATCCTACTGACTGCGCCAATTTCTCTAATATTATAAATATAACTAATTTAAAAATTGATAATGGAGCGGTGGTTCATTGTTTTTTATAACATTTAAAAGGAAGAAGTATTTGATTCACAACATTGAAGTAAAAAAAAACATTTAAACTCTAGATTTGTCATGATTTTGCGAATTTTCTTTTTAAATGTTTTTTGGTTACTTATTTCTTTGACCAAGTTTGGAAGGTTTTAAAAAATTGATTAATGGTGTTTAGGTTTTTTACAGTGAATTCAGTGTTCCTTCCATTAAAAAAAAATCTATAAAGATACCTGCCTAAGAATTTTGTATATTTGAAAACCCCGACTGGTCAGTTTTCTCGTCTGCTTTTATCCGTAATAAAAATAACAATGTTAGTTCTAAAACTATTTTTCTGTTCTTTTAAAAAGGTTCTCTCCGTTCTTAAAGTTCGTGTTTCTCTTTTCTGCTTATTAACAGATTTTTCCAGAGTAATTAGTAAAACTTTTATCTAAACATGATTTTAGTGTACTGTAAACCTAGTATATACTCTCCACTAGTTTGATTTAAATTAAAAAAGTTTATTATTGTAATAATCTTTGATTTGTGTGTATTTATTTTTCATCTTCATATATCACCAGCTAATATTATTGGTCCATCTTCTTCCTGAAGTAATGCTGGGAAATAGTAAAAGAGCATACACATAACACACATTAACGAAAATAACATATATTATTAGGTGTATCCCTAAGCCATAAAACAAAAACAAAAATTATTCATAAATAATTTTACATTTCCATTTGAGGAATGATATACTGAGATAACCACCACCATATGCTTTTGGTCTACAATAGCAGGAAACTAACTTGAAATTTTTTATTGCTATAATTTCGGTGGGTTCTTTGACTTGCCAATATTCTGTAATGCACAGAACTTTACAGTTTGAATGTTCATATCAGTGATGCTAAAAAGGTTGGCAACACTGCACAAATTTTTCTCTACTAAGGACAGTAACTAAAACGTTTTTTATAAAATTAGTACGTTTTAATATCCATATCCGAACACATCTACTCCATCTCAATTTGCATCTGTTTATTCGATATACCGGGTGTTCAAATTAAAGTGTTACAGTTAAATACCGCCGAAAATGTGCATTTTATAAAAAAAAGTTTCAGACAAAAGTTTCACAGTTTTTTTGGGGAAACATTTTGGCGAATTTCATTTTTTTATAGCTGACCATAATATGGCCGTATCGAGGTGGACTTTTTTATTTCAAATAGGAACCCAACTTTTTTTTTCATATTCTTAAAGTTAATAACAAAATAAGAAAGTTTTAAAGGAAACATTTTTTTTATTAGACTTTTACTTATTAAGTAACACCTACTTGAAAATTGTGCAGCGCCAAAAAAAGTTGGCCATATTATGGTTAGCTATAAAAAAGATTATTGCCAAAATGTTTACCCCAATCAAATATAAAACTTTCATCTGAAACGTTTTTTTATAAAAAAAAGTATTTAACTGTAACACTTTAATTTGAACACCCGGTATAACTATCTAGATTATAGTTTTTACATCTGTATTTGAAATAAAATTCTAATTGGTAGGTTGTCAAAATTTGGAGTGTTTAATTTTGTTGGATTCGTCTATCGAACTTTAATCACTTCATTCACTCCTGTTATGGCTCCAGGCGACCGGTATATCATTTTCGTGAATGATGAACTTTTCACATGTGCATACTGTCAAAAGTGATTTTTTAATAATTCCTTTATTTTCGTCATTGTCGACAAGAGTAAAGAATATTTGAATTCCAAAAATAATATATTTAATCATCAACGATCTATAGATAGTAATTGTCATTATCACGTGATCACTAAGGATACAGTGGTTGTTTCTAACTGTTTATCAAATCCTCTATCACATGATAAAAAGTTCACAACATGTTAGATGCATCTGATGTGGATAAACAAATAGCAAATTAAAAAAAGTCACGAGGCACTAGTCCACTGTCAACACGGGTCAGTTCAGTACAATGTTGGTTAAATAAGCCAAACTCTTCTCAGAAAAGTTGTTATTTTCCCCTTAATTTTATTCTGCATCAAATACTCTAAATTTTCTCAAATTCTCCAGAAAGCAGATTATTATCCACTCATTGGCAACACTGGTTCATAGAGATAGGCTTCTAGAGTGTTCTTTATCAACTTTACATATGGCATATGAAGTGACATTTACAAAATATTAACTCTTTCTGATCCGAGTAAGTTTTTAAAAACGCGTAATGTTAAAAACGCCAGGGGTTTGTTCCGTTTTAAAGCCCCGGGCGACGTACGGACTAAAACCAGTCTCTAATAAACGTTAAAATTAAAAGGCCGTATTGTCTAGGTGTTTTGGAAACGTCGTTTCATTTTTAGGAACGTCTGCGTCTGGTCGACAACTTTTTACCCATCGAAATTGGAAGGTTAAAAATCGCCCGTCATGCGCATTAATGATGATCTTGATTTTGATTCTGTTCCATATATGTAATTAAATTAACGAATAACGAAAACGATATTTTATACCTAGCAGCACCGACTTTTTTTATTTCTAAAAATTTAATTGTTTGGTAACATAACTAGTCATTCATAGGTTTTCATTTTGTTTACTAATCGAACCAAGCGTTATTTCTCTTATCGACAACTCAATATTTATTTTTCTTGTATGTATATTTTTCTTTACGTATTTCTATTCTTATTTTTAAAAAATAAATATTTGTATTATTATTATATAATATAGTATTCGAGAAATGAGGATTGTCTTCATCCTTCATTTGAGATTCTTAAAATGGTTTAATATATACATAATTATAACCTATTACAAAAAATCAACAAACATGTTAAATGTCAAATTCCAAAATCTTAAAAATCCGTTCCAATTTATCGGACAAAATAACTATGACGTCATTATGCACTTGTCAGTGTGAGAGGGCGAAATGGCCTGGGGGTCGATTCTCGACTTGTAGGAACCTTTTCCTATAGGAATTTGTGACACTTTCCTATATGTAGGAAAATGTCATAAATTTTCGATGTACATAAAAATGTCAAAAATTCCTATAGGAAAATATTCCTACAAGTCGAGAATCGACCCCCTGGTAAACAGAACGCAGCCCATCGGTTGACGGAACCAAAATCGCAATACCGATTAGAGATGAGATGAGAGAAAAATAACGGTATCATAGATATACCGTTATAATGTATCATAAGACAAATTTATTTGTTGGGCCACTACTGAAATCTTTGTTTTTAAATTATATCAATAACATGTCGAGCGGCTTCAATATTTTCAGCAGTACGTTTAGACGGCTATACACTTCCATTTTTTAGACCGACGCTACTAGTATCTCTGAATAAATGTACATAATTTGTCAAAAACATTGTAAAAATCATTGTAATCAAACACTAGTTTCGAAGTTAAAATGTTATTTAGTGGAACTGTCTAAAGTACCAACCCAAAACTTCAAATTCCAATTATGATGGCTCATTATAATTATTCGAAAAAGTAAGATTTAGAAATAATAACATTTTTGTTCTTTATTATTTTCTAGTCACAATAGAATCGGTAGGGGCAATGCAACCGGATGTAATTTTTAAAGAAGCCGTTAATATTTTAAGGAATAAGTGCGCTTCATTGTTAGAGGAACTTAATTCTACAAGTTAATATATTTTGTTATTTTTTCATGAATAATAAAAATCTAATAAATTGAAATTGTTTTCTTTTATATAGGTACCAATAAATAATTAATTTTTCAGTTAATAAATCTTGAAGGTAAGTGCAAGGAAGGGCATCGAACATCGATGTTACTAATACGATGTTTTATTGAAATCGATGTAGATATTTCGATGTTTTTGGAAAACCACTGATTTTTCGCATTTAATTTTTTTCCATACTTTTATCGATCAAAAAAATTAGCTTCAGACATCGAGGGCACATTATTTGAAATAAAAAATGGGGTTGGCATTAAAAAAATATCGGTGACATCATTCCCAGCTAGCACATAACGTTGCCAAGCCTTTCGGCGATGTTGTTTTAAGGGAATGTAATAACATTATTATACAACGTAACTGCAACGTTCATGAGAAGTTGTTGAGGGAAATCAAAACCTCGCAAGATTTCTGTTTGTTACTTGCCTATTTAACCTACCTGTTACGATAACACAACGTAAAAGAGTATTCACGAGAAGTACTGTGAACATCATATTGTTTCGAATGTGGCCATTCGTTTGTCATAAGTCAAAACCAACAAAACATAGAAAAAATGTCACTTGTCACTTTTTCTTGTGGTATATGAGATTTTAAAGAATTTGTAAACTAATACGTTTGAATAAGTTTTTTTAAGATCTTTTCAATAAAATAGAAACATATTTTCTAATTTATTGTCTGTTGTTTTAGATTGCAATATTTCAGTTTCCAACTAAAATAAAATATAAATCATTGTAAAGGAGAAAATACAACCTATTAGGTTCTTTTGTTCGTCCCACTGGTGTAGGAATGAACTACACCAACGGACACTAAATCTTTCGTTTGGCCCGGTGTAAAACCTACTATACCTCTGCCGGCAATGTGGTGTCCATTGGTGGATATTTTCTCCACCAGCCATTTAGCAGGAGTGAATTACACTCAACATGTGTATAAGGAATAAGTAGGAAGTAAGCTAGGGTAAAGAAGGTGGTGTAACTGGTGTAATTTACACTGGTGGACACTGCACCAACAGCGAACGAAAGAACCTATTAAATGACTGCCTACATTTCACAGAAAATACTTTAAATATAGATTTACAAAACTAACTTCTGGGTAATATAAGGTGACCATATTTATTTTGATCCAATGCTTGACGCTGAACACGAATACAACAATTGGTGATAAACTTTCGCAGGTGAACATTTTTTTAGCTCCCAACTATAAAAAAATAAAAACAGAGCAGTCATGTACTGCCATCCTAGCAAGAAAGGCCCTATCTGAAATTTTTGTTGTTTAAAAATAATCGAGTTTTTAACTATATTTTTAGTAGACATATTTATAATCTTTAAACCTTTTTTGTCCAACTTTAACATTTTAGTAGGTACCTTTACGATGCAAATAGGACATCCCGTTTCGGCATCAATAAAGATAATATGTACACAAATGCACATATATAAAAATTAGTATTACCATTGCAGGACAGTAGTGGCGTTTTGCTGGATAAATTCAGCATTTCACTGGACATATACCTATGCCATTTTGCTGTACGTTTGCTGCACAATATCAAAGGCTGGACAGACTTTAAAAATTCTGTACACATAGTCGCCCTAGTGCAATAATATTTTTAATCACTAAAAATACATTTAAAAAATATTGTGTTGTAGGTTTCCTTTGTGTTGGATTATAATTCTATTAAAAATCTCTGGAATTTTAGAAGCTAAAGTAAATAATACAGAATTAGTTAAAGAATATATAACATCTGAAATTATTTCTTTTTCTTTCTCAGCATAATATCGTGCTAAAAAACATTGGTTTTCATAAAAAGCTATGTATAACTTGGAAATCCATTATTAAGCATCAAATTTGTAAAATTCAAAATAAATTTAATTATTTATTTAAAACAAAGTAAAACACACTGTATATATTTTTTAAATTGGTCTGCAGTATAAAATAACGGAATAAAATCTATTAATGATAAAATGTAACGATAATGGGTAAAATGATAATATAACGTAAAGGGTAGTTTGTCGCTTAGCATCTAAATATAAATGATATTATTTAGAATTTTTGCATACGTGCCAATTTAAAATAACTTGCAAAATATGCAAAACGATAACTCTGAATTGCTGGAAACCCGGCCGTGGCCTGAAAACACAGTTTCAAAAATAATATTTTATCAAAATTTCCAATTTTTGCGATTTCATTAAAGCGTTTATGAAGGAAAACGTATTTAAATGGCATAAATGGGACAAAATAAAAAAAAATTATAAGATTGCTTTGAATAATTTATTTCGAACTTTATATTTTTGACCCACATATAGAGGCAGTGGCAGTATATTTTCTATTTAATTTAAAACAGACTATTTGATCATTTTTGTCATGAAACGATTTTGACTAAAAATAACTAATAATTAAAAAATATAACGCAATTTTGGAAATATGAAAATGAAAAAAAATCCCCAATTCCCGCTACGAAATTATGAAAATTACACCCTCATAGCCCCAAAGTAAAACCAAACCAAGGAAAAATTAAAAAAGCTGAGAATTAAAGAGAACAAAAAATGAGTGAACCGTCCAGGAGTCGAACCTGGAACCTTCGGACTGTGGCCGTCGCTGCTGGTACCAAATTATCAGATTCCGACTCCCGACGGCGTAAACACAAATTCTAATCTCAATTGTAGCTCTCTCAACGTCACTCCTGTGACATCGTGTAGAAAGACGATGGATCTATATGATTTTACTAAAACAAATTTCTAAGATTCTTCATTCGTTCACCAGTGTTAAGTAGCTGATGCTTTGCGAAGAAGTATCTACTACGTAGCATTTTTTTTATATACAAAGTACCTATTCCACTTGAGAAAAACATACTACGGACATAGCTAGGCAGGAGTACCTACTAATGGGTGGCATGTATAAAACGTAGTACATGCTAATATTTCAAGTGTATCGGTTGCTACAACAATGTAGCAATTACTCTCTCAAGTACCTTATATGTAGAAGTAGAAGTACCTACTCCGTAATTTCATAGCCATAGCCCATATAAATGGGACTCTTAGTAGTATTTACTTCGGCGGCTGCAACTTTATTCAAAGAAATGGCTGCTTTTATGAATGGGTGTCTTAGATAAGTGTACAATCACAGAAGAAGATACAACGATGATTTATATAGAATTTAATCAGTTTATTCAGGTATGTATTAGTTATTTCAGCAATTAAATATTAAATACTTGGTTACATCTATAAAAAAAACTCGAAAAAGTCAAAAGTACTACCCAGCTAGCACATAAACATCCCATCTACGTTAATAAGCTGCAATTTTAGGCTCTTTAAGCTCGCATGCAATGTACTGTAAATGTAACCCTATTATCCCTGCAACTACCGAATGTCCGCAACGGCAAGACTTTTATAGCACATCTCGTAGAAGTTATAAAGTGAAGTTCGGAAAACATCACACTAGCACTTTTACGGTACTTACCCCGAAAGTTGCTCTGAAACTTTCTATAGATGTTATAATGTGAATTCCTTCTACAGCATTATACAGTGTGTCCACGGATGGACTTAACAATACTTGTAAAAATATTTATTTTAAATTTTAAAGTATTCTTCATAATTTCTTTTGCTTGTTAAATAAATACGATTAACGTTGAGAAATTATGAAAAATACCTCTTTTGAAAAATTTAAAATAAATATCTTTACAAGTATAGTTATGTCCATCCTTGGATACACTATATTCAAAATAGTATATTAAGGATATAGTAAAATCTGAAGAAAACAAAATAAAAAAATTGTATAAATTTATTATTAAAAAGCTATTGAAATCAAATACCAATATCATACAAGTAGAGGTAGGTAATAATACAGGTAATGCAATTACATATGTGTGATAAAACACTGACAAATTGGACAAAAATAGGTATAGAGGGTATATAAGGAATATCTCAAAAGTTCACTAGAATCAAAAACATTGAACGCTTGCACGAAAGAGTATAATAAGGTACCTATATTGCAAAGGTTCACTAGTAGCTAAAATGGTGAACGATTGTACAAAAGTAATAAAAGAAGTGTATTTATATAAGGTATATTTCAAAGGTCACTAGATTTTTATTAAGATGGCAGTTGTACGATGCTAAAAAAATATATTTGCCTACAACTGGTACTAATTATAGTTTTAATACGATATAACTTGATTAAACTGAATATTGATAAATGTAAAGTTATAAGGTTTAATAAAACAGCTAATATCATTATGCATGATTATGTCACTGCAGGTTCTGAACTATAAATGATCTTGGTGATATTTTTGACAGAGGCCTATCGTTTATTCCTCATTTTATTAGATTCCTTGTTCAGCATTTTTTTATGTATATTTATATAATTTTGTATAATAATTTGTATGTATTGAAAGCAATAAAGTCATTATTATTATTATTATTATTATTATATATTCTTCTTCAACCAATTCTGTATTATTAACTTTAGCTTCTAAAATTCCTGACATTTTTACTAGAATTATAATCCACCACAAAGAAAACCTACAACACAATATTTTTAAAATTTATTTTTAATGATTAAAATATTATTACACTAGGGCGACCATACTTACATCAATTTTGCTGTATTGTAAAGCATTTTTAAAGTTTGTCCAGCAATTGGTATTGTGCAGCAAACGTACAGCAAAATGGCATAGGTATATGTCCAGTGAAATGCTGTATTTATCCACCAAAACGTCACTACTGTCCAGCAATGGTAATACTTAATTTACTGAAATGTAACAAATTTAAATGTTATTTATCTTTAGTGAACTACATGAGCACTTCTAACTGCCGTCCTAGCAAGAAAGGTTTTATCTGCAAAATTATCAGTTTTTTTATTTATGTGCATTTGTCTACATTTTATCTTTCTTAATACTGAAATGGAATATCTTATTTGCATCAAAGGTACTAAAATGTTAAAAAGTTACATAAAAAAGGTTTAAAAGATAATAAATATATTTGCTAAAAATAGTTAAAAACTCGATTATTTCAAAA